GGATGTGGCAGAATTGAAATGCACCACTTCCTGGCCAGGCCACTAAAATCTTTTCTCATGATCCTGCATGGTCTTTCTCCTTTTACCAGATGTATAAAAATGATGTAGCAAAGGACTCTAAGACTCTATGAGACGCTAGAGTCAGAATTTGAAAGGATCTCACTGCCTTGAATCTCCACAAGGAAAGTAACCCACCAAAGAATCATACTGAACTGATATATAAGCAAAAAATGAAGTTCTAATGTATTAAACCACTGAGATTTTAAGTATATTTGTTATGCAGTAGTTATACAATCCTGGCTAATGTATCATTCAATTAATAAATATTTATTAAGCACCTACACTATATTAAGCACTAATAAAATGGTGAAAAAGAGATAGACATCATTTCTACCCTCATAAAGTTTTTTAATGTTCTTAGACAACTTTCTTCCTACTTACTGAAAAACCTCTTGACAGCTCTTATTAACACTAAATAATGTTAAAGCCTGTCACCTATGTGGTGATGGTAGTGTATAAATAAAATGTAAAGTGATGTTAATAATACATTAGTGACTCACCTGTAGAAATAAAAATAACTCCATTTATTAATCAGAATATGCTAATTTTATGAAAAAATGATTTGAACATCTCAGTGTTTTAACACAATAAAAGATTTTTCTTTCTTCTAACTCCTGAAATGTCCTGTGTGATTAGGATCTTTTGGGTAATTCAGGTGAAGGTTGACTTAGAGAATCATTTACTTTCATTTTATACCTCCAAGATTCACTGGGGTCGTCCCATGAAAAGATGGAGTGAAGAAAGTGTAAGGAAGGTATACAAGTATGCTTAATCGACCAGGACCCAAGGTGGCACATGGCAATTCCACTCACAAACCACTAGCCAGAGGTAGGCACATGACCTCCTCGAGATTGAAGAGAGGTAGGAAATGGAGTTCCTGGATGAATCATAATTTCCCATCAATTATTATGTAAGGGGAGAATATACTGTGGATGGACTCTGAAAGCAGCTTCTGCCAAGATTTATAAGGATTCTGTAAGGATTTATAAGGATTTTATCATTTAGTCTCAAAGAAACTCTCTTAGTTATTTTTTCCCTAATTTACATATGAGGAAAATAAGTCTCAGAAAGATTGACTAGTAAGGTTGTGCCGACACCATAGGGGCAAGCCAGGATTCAAGGAAGTTTTCAGATGTATATCGTGAGAACGTGTACCATACAACATAGCAAAGCCAAAAATCAAATAAACTGACAAAAAAAAAAAAAAACTGAAGCAGAAAAGGGATTTAGCATCTAACTTCTTATTGCAAAAATAGATTTCTCTTTACCTTCAGAAATGGATATTTCCGGAGACATAGAGAATAGGAATGGCCAAAACAAGACTGCCTCAATGCTTCATTTGCAATGATAAAGGAATGCTTCTTCCTTCCCCTCCATTACCCCTTTCCCATGGAACTTGCTCCTTCCTAACAACAAGATGTTATTGGGGAAGTTCTGTCTCTAATTTACCTTCCAGCACAACCTTCACATTGTCTACATTCTCCCTGGGAATTTAAAGCATGAGAAAGTTTTAATACAAGAAGATAAAAATCTATCCAGATACAAGCACTTCCTCAGCAGTTTGCTTCTGCTTCTCCTCCCTCACAGGAAGGTTGGAAAGTCACATGGCTTCCTACAGTTTTTTCCCCTTGCTACCTCCCTGGAGAAGAGGCTAAAAGAATCCCAAGTTTTATTTCTGGGTGGTTCACCAAGTGTGGAGCTTGACTCTTACCTTTTGGACAAAGAAAACTAGATGTAGTTCTGTACAGACAAAACATGTTGGCATAAATGCTATTGTTAGCAAGCCTGAAGATGATGATGAAGGAAGATGATAATTATAATGGAAGCCACAGGAAATAATTCTCATTAGTATTACAAGAACATGATATCAAAACAGCTGCATTGATTTTACAGAGCACATCTATGAGAGCATTCAGATCAGTGTCAAGGCAAAAGTAGCGATGAGTCCAATTCTGAGATTGGGTAAGATTAGGGGTTGGGCAGTGGGAGCTCTGCAGTGTTCAGTGTCCAGCTGCAGAGCAGGGGGAGACTTTTCCCTTCCCAGGATCACCCTCTCAGGGAAGCCTTCAGTAGCTCTTACAAACTGGCAGAACTAATTTTAGCTGGTATCAAATTGCACTGAGGCTCTTATGTTCCTGTATCCCTAGCCCCACTGTTACTCAGGGCCAGGGTAGTGAGTGGCAACTTTGTATCTGAACCCAGTGTATACTTTGGCCGCTGGTATATAGTGGCAATAGTATTTCCTATTTTCCCTTCATTAACAGCTGTCTATATTAACTAGTCTGTATGGTCAGTGTGGTGACAAAGGGAGAAAACAAAGACTAATTTAAAAGCTGATAAAGAAAGGACAGGGGCAGGATATAAAGCAAGGGGGTCTGTTTTGTTTAGAAAATTACATTAATGTGCCCAAGGCACATTCCTGCAGGTAGCCATGAAGCCTGAGTGGCAGGTTCTGGTGGAGTAGCATCTCTCTCACATCCTTCTCTTTGGAGTCAAGGTAGAGCCCTGATACTTGAGCTTTTATGAGACACAAGATGTCAGTATGGCTGAGAGAACATACAGGTAAAAGTGGCTTCCCCAGGATCACTTCCAGGGCACAGAAGTGACCTTTGGGGTACATGGCTGGAGGTAGTGCTCTCTACTTTCATCAGAGAGAAACATGCTAAGCTTAGAAATGTGGCCATGCAAAAAGCAGAGCCCTAAAGATTAAGCATCATTAGCACTGCACCTAATAGCTTTGGAACCATGTTTATACTAAACTCAGTTTCCTCATATGGAAAATAGGGTGCACATTGTCACCACTTCCATTCAACATAGTGGTAGAAGTCCTGGCCAAAATAATCAGGAAAGAGAAAGTAATAAAGAGCATCCAAATTGGAAAAGAGGTGGTCAAAGTATCCCTGTTTGTTGATGATATGATCCTGTATCCAGAAAACCCTACAGACTCCACCGAAAGACTCCTGGAATTGATAAATAAATTCAGTAAAGTCTTCAGTTACAAAATCAATGTACACCAACCAATAGCATTTTTATATAGTAATAATAGTCAAGATGAGAACCATCAAGGACTCAATATCATTCACAATAGCAACAAATAAAATACCTAGGGATATAATTAACCAAGTTGGTGAAAGATCTCTGCAAAGAGAACTACTTACTGATGAAAGAAATTGCAGATGACACAAACAAATCAAAATACATTCCATGTTCATGGATTGGTAGAATCAACATAATTACAATGTCCATACAGCTCAAAGTGATTTACAGATTCAGTGAAATCCCCATCAAAATACTAACATTATGTTTCACAGATCTAGTAAAAATAATCCTAAGTTTCATTTAGAACCAAAAAAGAACTCAAATAATCAAAGAAATCTTAAGCAAAAAGAACAAATCTGGAGGCATCACCTTACCTGCCTTCAAATTATACTACAAGTCTATAGTATCTAAAACAACATGGTACTGTTATAAAAGTAGAGATGTAGATCAATGAAACAGAATAGAGAACCCAGAAATAAAAGCATCTACCTACAACTAACTGATCTTTGACAAAGCAGACACTAACCTACACTAGGAGATGAAAGCTCTATTCAGTAAATGGTGCTGGGAAAATTGAATAGCAGAAGAATGAAACATGACCCCCATCTCTCCCCGTATACAAAAATTAATTCAAGATAGATAAAAGACTTAAATGTAAGGCATGAAACCATGACAATTCTAGAAGAAAATGTAGAAAAAACTCTTCTAGACATCAGCCCAGGCAAAAAATTTATGACTAAGACACCAAAGTCAAATACAGCAATAACAAAATAAATAAACAAGACTTAAGAAGCCTCTGCATGGCAAAGAAAATATTCAACGACAGAATGAATAGACAACTTATAGATTGGGAGAAAATATTTGCATCCAACAAAGGATTAATTATCGAGAATCTACCAAGAACAAACAAATCAGCAAGAAATAAATAAACAAAACCATGAAAAAGTGGGCCAAAGACATAGAAAGAAGTTTTTCATTAAAAGATAGACACAAATGGCCAACAAACAGATGAGAAAATGCTCAACATCACTAATTATCAGGTAAATGCAAATTAAAACCACAGTGAGTTACCATCTTACCCCTATCAAAATGGCCATTATCAAAAAGTCCAAAAACAATAGATGCTGGTGTGGTTGCAGAGAGAAAGGAATGCTTATGCACTGTTGATGGGATTGCAAATTGATACCAACTCTGTGGAAAACGGTATGGAAATTCCTCAAAGAAATAAATGTAGACCTACCACTTGATCCAGAAATCCTACTACTGGGTATCTCCCCAAAGGAAACTAAATCATTTTATCAAAAAACATCTGCACTTGAATTTTATTGCAGCATCATTCACAATTGCAAAGATGGAGATTCAACCTAAATGCCCATCAATTCATGAGTGGACAAAGAAAATATGGTGTATATATACATACCATGGTGTACTACTCAGTCATAAAAAGGAATGAAATAATGTCTTTTATAGCAATTTGGGATGGAACTGGAGATCATTATTCTACATGAAGTATCTCAGGAATGGAAAACAAGACATCATACGTTCTCGCTAATATGTGGGAGCTAAATGAAGGGCACACAGGCAAAAAGTGACATAAAGGGCATGAGAAACCAAGAAGAGGGGAGGGTGGGAGAGGGGATGAGGAATAAAAACTTACCTATTGGGCAGAATGAACACTACTCTGGTGACAGGCACACCAAAGCTCTGACTTAAGCATTATACAAAGTATCCATATAACAAAAACACTTGCACCCCTTAATATTTGAAAAGAAAAAAGGAAAAGAAAAAATAAGACACCCACTAATAAGCAATGAGAGGTAGACACACTAGTGTCTTCTCATGGAGGATGTGGAAAGTGAGTCATGGATTCAGGTCACGGGGCAGCAGTTCTACCACCTTACCCAGCTTCCCAAGGGTCAGCCTAGGGCCCAGCTCCACTTAGCATCACAAGCCCTCCATGGCACTGCAGCTACCACAGGGCTCTGCCCAGTAACCATGGATCCCGTAGCCACAACAAACCCCAGGTAACACTCCAACATTCTGCCTGGAACTCATCCAGTAGTGGGTACCATGGATTGGTCTGTTATATTGTTTGTGGTGGAGGGAGATTTGCAGATAAAATACGCTCGTCTCCAAAAAATAAATAAATAAATAAATAAATAAACAAAAAATATATAGCATGAGCCATATATATAATTTAAGATTTTCTAGTAGCCACAATAAAACAGTAAAAACAAACAAGTGAGATTAATTTTGATAATATATTTTACTTAATCCAATATATCAAGACTATGATCATTCAACATATAATCAAGATGCAAATTATTAATGAAATATTTTACATTCCATTTTAATGGGGAGTCTTCAAAATTTGGTGTATATTTTACACTTACAGCACATCTCAAATTGTACTGGCTGTGTCAAAAGTATTCATTAGCCACACCTGGCTAATGGCCACTGCATTGGATAGCATAGCTTTAGACTCTTAACTTGGGCCTCCACCCGACACATCCGAATGATAATCCATCTTTATAGATGCTCTCTGCTTGTTGCCTTCACATTCTCTTACCTTCTACTTTCACCTGTCTTTTGTCCCCTGCACCAATGCCTCAGCCTTCTTCTACCCATTTTCCGTTTCTTCTAGCTAGCCACTTGTCCCTTCCTCGTGCTCCTACCAGTGGGTCTCCCGGTAAGAACACACTCAGGATAAAATGCTAAGGCCTTAGCTAATCACACAGGGTCTATCATATATTAGCTCCAGGATATCCCCACAGTTATAGCTCCATCTACTCTGACACAGTCTTCCCTCTAACTTTAAGGAATATTTGAAATTCTTTTAACAAATACTTATTGATCAAAACAAAATCCCTGACCTCAGTGGGCTCTATCTCATCAAGACACATACACGCATGCAGTTCCCTCTCTTTGATGTCACTGCCCTTCTCCATGACAGGGCTCTATCTCCCTTTCCTTCCAAGCTCAACTTCTGCAACAATTCCCTCTGGCAGAGTTCATCCTCCCATTCCATTGATCAGGATACTTGACTCTGTTTTCCTATAGCTCTCTCTTAATAGAACCATTAAGATGTTCATTGCACCGTTCTGTGCTTGCTGATTTTCTCGTCTATCTCCAACACTTTACTGTATGTATGCATTGAGAGCGAAGACGATATCTTATTTAAATTCCTGCCATAACACTTGGCATAGGTGCTGGAACATTATAGGGCATCAGCAAATGCGTTGTGAGTCCACGAGTGGGATCAGACCAGAAACAGCCACATCTAGTTCTATTTAGTTTGTGTTTTGTCAACAAAACCCAATGTTCATATTTTAAAGGGTGAAATAAGTCATTTCCACCCACTGTTTAGCAAAAAGGACATTTCCCATCCCCATTTGAGAAGGTCACTGAAAAACTGTAGGAGAGCTTTCAAAAATGCTTTTTTAAAACCATACTCCACACAAAAGGCATCCCCAAAGAAGATAAATAAACATTTACATAAGGAAATCTGACAACGGTATATTTATGTGGGAGTATTCAGGGTTCCCAAGGATTCCAGCCAAGAAAAATATTAGCCTGTGTTCTTGTCTCAATGTTGTTATTTTAATAAAAGTTTCACTTTTAAATCAATTTTGTAGCATGTTGCATGAACAGGAGAGTGAGCAGATGTTCTCTTTTGGCCAACTGATTTATACAAAGTCTGATTTATTAAGACAATCATATGGGGTGTTCTCTACTTTATGAAAAGATTTACCTACCATGTCTCCCCATTTAGCACTCACTGCATGTTTAATGTGATTTGCTTTATTAAACATATATAAGCATGAGAATTTTTCAGAATTAATAACATTTAGCATTATTTTGATACCTAAAAAACACTTTCCAAAAATGTTTTCCCAACTATTGTCTCATTTTATTTTCGCATGATTTTTTGAATTTGGTCACCTAAATTATGATGATAATAACAATAACAATAATAATAAAAATTAACAGTAACTAATAATAATGGTGATGGTGGTGGCTAACGTTTACTGACCATTTACCATATGCCAGACACTGTTCTAATGTTTTCTACATTATGAACTCTTTAATACCTCCAATGATTCCATGAGGTAGATTACTGTTGACATCCACTTAATAAGTGAGATATTGAGCCCTGCTCTTCTGAATTTCTTTCCATTTCTCATATGAGCTATACTGGGTTGAATAGTGTTCCCAAAAAATGATATGTCTGAGTCTTAACCTCAAGAATCTGTGAATGTGACTTTATTTCAAAATAGGATCTTTGCAGCTCTAATTATGTTAAGGATCTCAGGATGAGATCATTGTAGATTTAAGGTGTGCCCTACACCTATCAACTAGTGTCCTTATGGCAGAAAAGAGATTTGAGAGACAGAGGCGTGGGGAAGAAGCCCACGTGAAAATGGATGCAGAGCTTTGAGTTATGCTGCCACAAGCCACAGAATGCTAGGAGCCACCAGAAGCCAAAAGTTGCAGAGAAGATTTCTTCCCAAGAGCATCTGGAGAGAATATGGCCCTGCTGAAACCCTGATTTTGAATGTCTGGCCCCTAGAACTCTGAGAGGATGAATTTCTGTTGTTCTAAGCCACCCATTTGTGATCATTTGTGATGGCATTCCAAGGAAAGCATGATCTATTTTGCTGTAGATTTTTATATGTGCTCTTCCCTCAAACCCTCTGTCTAGAATGCAGGAAGGAAAAAACAAAGTTCCTGTATCAGTCAGCTCTTACCACAACAATTCTGTATAACAAACAATTGCAAAATATCAGTGACATCTAAAGACAAGTTTGTATTTCTCACACGTCTGCAGGTTAGCTAGGGCTGTTTTGTTGATCTCAGGCGGGTTCATTCATGCATCTTCAGGCTGGCTGTGGTCAGCTGATAGAAGTCTGATCCACTGGGCAGGTCTGCTTCAAGCTGTGAGTCCAGTGGGTGTGGTTCTTCATGGTGGATGGGGCTCAGGTCATCTTCATGTGTCATTCATCTTCCTTAGACCATCACACCAGCTGGAGTGAATTCTTCCCATGGGGATGGCAGAGAAGTAAGAAAGGGCAAGCGAGCCAAATGTTACCCCCTCTAGGGCTAAGCCCTAAACTGTCCATTGTGATTCCTGGCCACATTCCATTGCCCAAAGCAAGTCACATAGAATCAAGGGGAAGAAAGACACACTCCACCCATAGGAGTTGGGGTGGGGAAAGGAGTGAATATTTTTGAATGAATAATTTAATCTATGACAGATCCTTTCTCTCTGTCTCACTTCCTGTCCCCTTGCCTGCCATCTACTTCCGTTTCAAGCAGCAAATGCATGTTACCACATGCAGGAGGCCTTCCCATCAATCCACATCTGAGTTAGGTATTTCTCCCACCCTATACACTCCCCTTCATATTATTATCACACTGGATATAATTTTTGTTTAACTATTTTCCTCCCAGATAAACTAAACTTTCAGAGGGTATGACCCATGTATCTCTGTTTCACAGACATTTTTTTTCTGTGTTTTCCCATTGTCTTACTCAAAATAGGCTTTTACATATTACTGTTGAATAAAACATACATTCTTAAGCTGTTCACCTACAAGTTTCGTTTCCTCGTATGAGGTGTCAGCAGGTAATGATAGTTTTGGCAATGTTTTCAGCAGTTCTGCCCACAGTGGCTCAGCAAATGGTCTCATCTCTGATAAAACAGTTGACCTGGTAGGTCCACTAATTGACTCCCCTGACTTCAGAAAAGCCTAGAGAGATGAAATTATTTTCCTCGGGTTATCTAATAACAGGAGGAACCAGGTTTTCTGTTTCTAAGTAATACCTTTACTCAGCAGCCTTGCCATATGTTTTCTATTCATCTCTGTTCCTGGTTAGGTCTGGGATCCAGGTCAGATAGTAAAATTCTCTCAACATAATAAATCAAGATTAAATAGTAAAGACCATGTAATAGATCATGCTGGTGACAGTTACTCCTTGAAAGCTAGAGGAAGAGGAATTCTTTTTAAATGGCACTATCCTTTTAGACCACCAACTATATCAGTCAGAGTCCTGATAGGAAGTGGGATTCATCTCTGATGGCTTGAGAAGGCTTTAAAGAGGTGTAGGAAGAATTATAGAAAACCCCTCAGAGACTAGCAGCAGTGGAAAGCCACCGCTTCTTGTATGTAATTTTTCATCCCATACTGACTCTGGGTCCACCACGTGACTTGACTTTACCAACGCAGCTGTAACTACCTTGATGCACTTGAAGCCTTGAAAATGAGTTCGCACGTTTCCTCTCTTCTCTATTGGAAACATGTTATCCCCATGGGAGGAAGCCTAGGCTAGCCTGCTGAAGGATGAGAGACTGTGGAACAGAGCTGAGCCACCCAGGGCATGGCCATCAAAGTTCAGCTAACAACCAACATTTACGGGCACCTCAGTTGAGACAAGAAGTATCCAGCTAAGTCCAATTAGAACCGGTAGAACTGCCCAGCCAATTCATAGACTGTGAGCAGTATAAGTGGTTATGTTTTAAATCACTAAGCTTTGGGGTGGTTTGCTATGCAGCATTATTGCTATGGTGTTAACTGATACATCATGTAATACCTAGGGTTGAAGTGACAAGGAGAGAAATAGCATTACTCATTACTGAACCCACTGAGAGGAGGGATAGTGGAGGGGGTCCATGTGGTGGAAGCCATACTCCAGAGATGCTGTACCAGAGCAAAGTGAACACCAAATGCCTCTTTTCTCTACCATGTCATTTTTGTCAGTGTCTTCCACTGGTCTCAACCAGCTAGAAGCCAGTTAGCAAGGGCTTGTAGATATGTCACCTGCAGGGAGCAGCAACCTGAGGGAGAAGAACAGCTCAAAGAAGAGCAGATACTAGACCTTGAGCATGGAAAATAGGGAACATCAACACACGCTGAGCTCTTGAGTATTTGGGCACTAAATATTTCTTTCATATTTAAATTTCTTGAAATCTCTCTACCAGCAGG